AGGCGTCTGAACTGCTCTGCTGTGGGGTAGTCAGGGCTCCCCATGTTCTGCCACAGCTGGTAAGGGCTGGTTACATTATTGTCCAAGTAATATGTGACATACATTAGACCTGGATAACAAACAGATAGCAAAGACGAGTAAAATTAACCAAACAGACTTACAGAAATCATCACAGATAAACAGAAACACTCCAAATCCCTTGACAGTGTTACCGTTTTGTGCAGGCAGTCCTTTCAGTGAGACGGTGACATCGTCGGTGACGGTAGAGGTGCTGTTGTCCTCACTGTTGTACGCCAACACTGCTGCCTGCCAGCTGTCTGAGCCACCGGGCATTACGGGTTCGTGGCTACTGGCGAGAACTCCCAGTGTGCCGTTGTGGCCTCCTGATGAGTTCACAACCTGAGCCAGAAGCTGGGTCTCTCCTACAATTTGAATCACAGGGACACATACGAATTAAATCATGTTTAAATGATTCATCTCCTTTTCCCCCGAGGGAACATGTGTTCTAGGGTAAAGATGTCACCTAGCAAAGCCAGCAGGGCCATGACTGTGAGGACGGGCTTCCTGATGAGTTGAACATGAGGCGGCTGAGTGTTGTTGACCTGGAAGCGGGCGGTCAATGTGCGCTGGGTGAAGGGGTGTGGGTGGTAGCTGAGGAAGGCATTGTCGTTGCTCAGCAGGGTGTAGTTGATGGTGCTGTTTGGGTTTGCCATCAACATATCCTGGTGCTGGTTTATAACCTTTTGAAGGTGGACAGCAGAGCATTTAGACTGATCTGATGAATACATTTTATGAAGTTGTTGGGGTCATTTCTATGGGAAGAAGATCATACACGAAATATGGAGGCATTTGCTAATCTCTCCATTACCGATTAAAGTTTGATGTCCGGCAATTTAGAGCTGCCGTGCTCACATCAGCTATTTGGTACGGTCCTTTTCAGGTCTAAATGAAAGATACTGTTCTAGACGGGACACTTCTAACTAGGGATGGGTATCGTTTAGGTTTTATCCGATACCGGTGCCAAACCGGTACTTTTGAAACGGTGCCGGTGCTTAAATGGTGCTCAAACCGGTGCTTAAAGAATGGAGAACACAAAATTGGTCCAAAAACCTCTCATGTTCAGCTGTTTTTTTGTAAAAAG